CTCAAGAGAAGAATGAGGGCTAAGACAGCCTTCCCAATTCCAGGCTTCTGGTGGTTTCTTGATTTCCCATTCCTTACCTCTCTGTAGTGTATTTGGGTGTTAACAAACTTTCCATCAATGGACCCAATTTCAGAGGTACTAGATAAGCCTTGTAGTTAAAAACATTTTCCCTTCCCTCTCCCTTCCCTTCTATCTGATAAGACCCTGTCTCAAACAGAGAAAGTGAAAACAAAATGATCAAAAATCAGATTTACCATGCGCAGTAAGTAAACCCTCAGAAACACTAATTTGTTAAGCACCCACCACTGATGGCGCTATTGGACTTGTAGTGTGCTCCAGGACTTCTCTTTGGCAAAAGGTTAAATATTAAAAACTGACAATGATAAGCACAGAGAATATAGTTGCGAATAGAGTATGATTCCTTAAGAATGGAAACCCGACTTAAGTCTCTGAAAATGCAATCATGACAATGCCACAGAAGCTGCTTTCCTCACAGCCCCAGGCTGTGGCTCTAGAATATCTGAGTCTTTTCAACCGCCCAGTTCCACCCCACACCGCCTCACCCTCACTCTGAGCTTCGGCAAATGGCTGCTCTTCTCTCTATACATGGAAGGGGCTTATCCAGACAGTTTTTCTTCTTTAGGGTATCGATTTTCTTTCCTGCCCTGTGATTCTCTCTTTCCACCATAGGAGAACTCAAAGTGTTAAGCAAAGGAGACTGGACGAGTAAGAGGGAGGCTTTTACTGAGTGTGTGTGTGTGTGTGTGTGTGTGTGTGTGTGTGTCTTGCTATGTTGCCTTGGCTATGGCAGACTTGAAACTGGTTATGTAAACTCCCAGAGAGTCTCCTGCCTCTGCCTCCTGAGTGCTGAGATTAAAGGTGTGCACTACTATACCCCTCTTTGTTCAAGGTTTTGGTTCTAGGCTTTCTACAGGACTTCTTTAATTGAAACAGTATATTTCCCTTTGAGACCAAAGAGAAGGGTTTAGGATGGGTCAGGTCCTGGGCTAATGGTAATCTTCATGATTCTGGCCATGGAATGACAGTTTGCATCTTAGAGAGATATAACTAAAGGAGACTTAATAGTGCTTGGTGGCTGAGTTGGCATGCCACAGAATGGAACACAGGGCAAACATGAAAGACCAATGCTTATTGTCAGCTTTTCGGTCTGCTTAGCAGGAGTTACACAGAAATAAGGAAGCCGTGAATATTCCCAACCTTGGTCTAGGGGGCTGGGAACGGGAAAAGAGGATGGGTTCAGTCGGGCCTCTCAAAGGTAGAAATCCCTTGCAGGTACTGGGATGGAAGGTAGGGCACGAGCGAGAATATGGGGGAAACCAGAGATTTGTACAACACTCAGGCCGTGTGACCAAGGGGCAAGGAGCAAGACAGAACACAAGACCCAGCCATGGGTGTTAGAGGAGAACGTAGCTGTAGATTCGGATATGAAGGGTCAGAGGAAGACAAGAGTAGAACGGTGTCAGGCCAGGTTATAATGAGCCTTCTGTTCTATGCTACAGAATGCGGATTTTGTTTGTAAACAACTGCAGTTTATTGAAGGTTTAGAAGTGTAAAGTGGTGAGCTTTGGAGATAAATAAATTATTGATGTTTAATTCTTTTTTAAAAGTTTTATCTGCCCCCCTCGTGTGTGTGTGTGTGTGTGTGTGTGTGTGCGCGCACACACACACACAGAAGTGCCCCAACACATATGCAGAGGACAGAGGACAACTTTTGGTAGTTGCCTACCATGTGAGTACTGGGATTACTCGGGTCATCAGGTTTGGCAGTCAGTACCTTTACCCTCTGAGCCATCTTGCTGGCCTTGATTGCTTTTATATAAAGGAATTCATGACCTGAAGGATTATTATGAGAGTGTAGAAAGGCTAGAAGGACGGAACTAGTTAGAGGGCTGCTGCAGTAGGTGTATCTGCTCCAAACTCCAGCAATGATAACGGCACAGGGAGGCAGGGGGAGTGTCCAGGGGCTTAGAAAGGAGATGATGTAGTTAGACAACGGAGTAGCGTAAGGAAGAACAGAGTCTGGGATGACTGCGGTGCTTCTAGTTGGATGATGGCGACATATTCACTGTGGTTTGGAACAAAGAGGAGCACACCTGTGAGCGAGGTGATTCCTTCTGTGTTGTACTAAGTTTGAAATATATATCCTGGTGGGTTAGAGTCATGGACATATGGGTGGTGACTGATGCCAAATGCCTGGGTAACATTTTTGGAAAAATAATAAATTCATGATAAATGTCTTGCAATGGTCTCATAAACCACGACAGTCCTTTGATTTCTTTTCTTTGCACTTGTTCTCTGCTTTATAGTGTGGTCTGAGCTTAGCCTTCAAACCTTTTCTATCTCTGAATGTCAAGACTGTGGGCCCTGCTCAATTGTTCAAGCTGGCCTTGAACTTGCTCTGTAGCTCAGGAAGGCTTTGAGTTTGCAACCTTTCTGCCTTAGCTCCCCAAGCAGCTGGGAATTGCAGGCCTAATCCACCATGTTTTCAGACCACCTTACAGAAGGTATCAGAAATCTGAAAACAAAACAAAACCCCAAAAACAAAAATCAGGCAGGAAGATAGTTCCTGGTCCACCGCTCTGGCTCTGGTTGTATTTTTCTCCTCTCTAAGTCAAATCCTTACAAGGGTAGATGTTAACATTTTCTCACTTTCTAGTGCAGCACCGTGTAATTTGGTTTCCCCTGGATCACTCTTGTGAAATTGCTCTCCTTGGGCAGTGGTAGTGCATGCCTTTAGTATCAGCACTGGGGAGCAGAAGCAAGCCGATCTCTGAGTTTGAGGCAGCCTGGTCTACAGAGTGAGTTCCAGGACAGACAAGACTGTACAGAGAACCCCTTGTCTTGAAAAACCAAACCAAAACAAACAAAACGAAAAGAAAAGAAACTGCTCTTAAACGTAACTAATGGCTTCTCATTGTCAAACCCAAAGCTTCTCTTTCTGCACTGACTGAAACTGCCCTAAGTTCCTCTCTTTGTCCTTCCTTCCTTGGTTCTTCAACACCTCGCTCTCTTAATCCATTCTTTGGCGGTCAACTGCGACTTTTTAGAGGTCTTTCTCCTTCTGTTCTTTGAGGTATAAGTCTTCCCCACTCTGCATCAGTCTATTTTCCAGCAAATATGGCCCTCCTTGAGAAGTGTCTTATCATGGCTTCAGTGTTGCTTTGGCAGCAACGGTCAACTGTGTTTTCTTCCCTCTGACCTCTACCCACCATCCCCAGCTCCTAACTCACCATCTCTGCCTCAGTTACCTGTTTCTTCAACAGGTTGGCTGCCCCCTGGAATTCAATGGTCTCATAGTTATTCTGGTTTGTAGAGTCCAGAACCATTGTGATCCTTGCAGTGCTTCTCTTTGCTCGCCATGACAGATTGGTCCATTGAACTTTTTTCTCTTGACTTTTTGACACCCAGGTTTTTTTTTCTGTTTCACTTTTTTGCTGAAACCATACAAATCCAGGCTTTCCTCCTGCCCACATAATTGTTATTACTCCCTGCCTAATTCAACTGTCTCCTGTTTTCAGATTCAAACCAGCCTGCACACTTCCAGATTAACCTTCCCAGCTTCTGCGTGTCTTTATCTCCTCCCCTTAAGAACTCTTAGTTGCTTTGCCTTGCTTATAGAAACTCTGACTGACCCTATCACAACCATATATTTACTCCGGGTCTCCCACTACTTCTTGAACAAGCCCGCTTCTAAGAACTAACCTTTAGCCAGCCCTCTCCTTGGCCAATGAGGACTTCCTTGCCTACTTCTCTGTGTTTCTCTTCCTCCCTACTTCCCTCCTTCCTTCCCTCTTTCTGATCCTCCTATCCTTCTCTTTGTGGTGGTGAAGGATGGAACCCAGGGCTATCCAAGCACTCTACCACTCAGCTACACCCTCAGCCCCAATGAGGGCTTTTCAAAAGGCACATTTATTCATTTTTAGGAATTTTAAAGATTCAAAATAAATTAAAATACACAATTTCTCTACTTTTAACTATGAATTTATATTAGCATAGTAAGTAAGTAATAATGGCTATTGATAGGTAATTCTGTGTCTATTATGAATAAGATGGTAAGTTATTATTTTCTTCTTTAATACATGCTATACATGAGATAGTGGATACAAACCATTCAAAACATAGATTCAGGTAATGAAAGCAGTCCTTGGTGCAAACACTCATGTGTAGGACTGGTTTGATGCTATTTCCTGAGACATTATGTACTTCTGTGTCCCCTCAGGACTTCACTTAGGTCGTTCCTCTGCCTTAAGTTCTTCCTGCTACCTCCTAGGACATTGGCCCCTGTGTCCCCTAGGACCTTGGACCTAAGTAAATATTATCTCTTTCCTCGAATATTTGTGGGGAACCCCCTAAAAAGAACGACCTTTCACTATTCTTCCACAATTTGGGGTGTCTCTCATACTTTGTACTAGACTGTAGCTTATTTTTCCGTTCAGATGAAGCTGCTGCAGGTGGAGATGGTTTTGGGTGCACTTTTTGCACCCAGCACCGTATTCTCTAAACAGGGAACAGCGAATCGCCTGGAAATTGTACGGGATGCCAGAGCCCTGTAGCCTCAGGAGCCCAGGCCAAGTCTGCCAGTCTGGTCCCAGCCACAACCCGTCCTGAATTCATTTCCACCTCATTAACTGGGGCCCAGTCCCGCCCCCGCGGCCCTCGTCCTGGTTCCTCCATTCTGACACGGCCGCCTCGCTTTTCTTCTTTCTCTCTCCCCCTGTCATCTTGCCAGCTCGGCTTCTATCTCTTCTCGTATCGTCCCTTCATCTCTCTTTCTCTGGGACTCTGTCTGGGACTCTGTCTTTGGGTGTTTCTGTCCCCTGGTCAGTCTGGGTTTGCGCTTCCTAGCACCCTAAGCCCCGCCCCTTGCCCAAATCACGCCAATCCCCAGGCTCGGGGCTGGCGCTCCGCTCTGCCATTGGCCGGCCCCAAGCTCCCCCGCCCCCGCCCTCCCGGCCCCCGCCGGGCCCCTCCATTCACTCAAAGTTTGGCTCCGGCGCTGCAGAGGGAGGGGGCGGCCCGGCCCGGCCCAACTCTGCCCCCGGCCGGCCCGACCCCGGCCCCGGCCCCCGGACAAGCCCTTATCTGATTCCAGCTCGGGGTTTAAGAGTCTTGGTCCTGCCCGTCGCGCAGCTCCGCTCGTCACTCCTGCCCGCCCCGTCTGTTCATCTGTCCCGCTGCCCGGCGGTCCATCCGTGCAGCCACTACACCTGCGAGCCAAGGTAAGACTCTGGCCCTGATGAAAGAGTGCTGCCGCCCTGGCCGAGGACCTGTCCACTTAGAGACACCGGGGTCCCCTAGCCCTTCGATCCCTACCAAGGTTGACTGGCCTCAGCAGTACAATCCGAAGTACTCCCTCCTTCAGCCATGGGCGTCCCAAGTGGACATTTCTGGGAAGGGTCCCTCACCAAGCGTACTTGACTTAGGCTAGTCACCTCAGGCCTTCCGTCTGAGAAAGGGGCTTTCGTAATGTCCCCGCCTCACTAGGCATACATGCAGTTGTATGGGGCTCCTCTGGTTACTACACATAAACCTACACCCACCACACAGGCCTACAGACACTGCTCCTGCAGCCCTCCCCGTGACAGTGACACTCACGGACAATGTTCTGACCACCAGTTTACATATGGGAGAAAAACAAACATTAGATTAGAGGACACAGCCTGGTGCACCGGGCACCCTCCCCTCTCCCCCTTCCCTTTTCTCTCCCTTCCTTTCCGACTTGGTTCCCACCTCAAGACACCCCTTTCTACTGACACCTCTCAAATTGTTTCAGGAGGAGAATTTCAGAAGGAGCAGGCTGTTTCTTCCTGAGTCAAAGGGTAGATTAGGGCCTATGAATTCACCCTCCAGAGCGTCCCTTCTCCCATTCTTTCTCCTCCAACGGGGACTAATCAAGGGCACTGATTCTAGGGAGGAGAGCTGTGGCCCAGGAAGATTAGAAGGTCAAAAATAGGGGAGGGGGGAACGCAGTGCCGGTAGGACTTTCTGGTGTCTTGGGATTTCATCCCAGTAACTGAAGTGCCCACGGGAGGCTGAAGATGGCCAAGAGGTGAGGGTGTGAAGAAACAAAGTCAGAGTTGGACCCCCAAATGGAAGGAAAGCATAAAGCCTGATTAGGTTGCTTATCATACAAATTCTGACGAGATTTCTGGTCAGACTGCCCTTGCTGCGGTGTTTGAAATTTTTTTTTCTCCCTATGGGACAGACTGCTTTATGTAGTCTGAGAGGGCAGGGGCTGGGGAAGGAAGATTGGGGAGCCTCCCGTTTGGGATTATGGAGAAGGCATTGAGATGCTAGTGCTCTGAGTCCGCTGTTGCCATGAGCTCAATGGAGTTTCATCGTGAACACTTCTCCCGGATCTCCAAGGAGTTTTGAACATGTTCCTGGAATGATGGCGATTCCATCCTCTGCCAAAGGGTAGGGCTTGCCAATTCCCCAAGGGTGCAGACTGGGTGGGTATAGGCACCAGGTCTAGAAGGAACTAGGTGTCCTGGCTCATGGCTGGTTCTTCAGCAAGGAGGAAAAGGGGAAAGGGGAGGGGGAGAGACGGCATCATGCCAGCGAAAGGGTCCAGGGTTGGACCACAGAGGCAGTAGGCTTGACCCAGGCAGTGCCAATCTCTCCACCCACCCGCCCAGCCTTTGGTGGTGGTGGCAAGGGAGGGAGGAAAGGAGGGGGAGTAAGGGGGTGATCTGGGCCAGTCCAGCCTCCCAAAGCCCTTGCCAACCTGGGTCCTGAAAGGAACTGCTGTTTTCTGAGCCATCCCCCCAGCCCCCATCCCGAGCCCAGAGCAGCCAAGTTGTCTCAGTGGATATCAAATGGCAATGACTCCACTGACTGGGAGTTGGTTGGGGGGGGGTATGGTCCCATTCCCTGTATAGCTCTAATGCAGAATCCTACTTCTCTCCCTTACCCTGTGGGGAGATAACATCTCTCCAACACGTACCCAATATATCTTTGGGGGGGCACATGTTTATGTGGGGATAAGCTGGTATTTCCCAAGTTCTCTCTGCAGCTCCCGCCTGCACTCTGCATGAGCTCATTTACACCCCAGCTTTGTAGGCTTGGGCTAGGAGGGAAGTGACTGGCAAAAGACCCAGGGACCTTCCTCCCCCCTCTTTCCTCTAGAGACCGAGGAGGCTGGGATGTTCAGATCTGGGTGGGTTCATATGCAGGTCTTTACAGTTGTGTTGGAACTGGCGGGGTAAGAGTTTTAAAGGCTCTGGTGGGCGAGTTGTGTCGCAAGGCCCATTTCCATAAAGGAGGTCTCTTGGCCTCCTAGGTTGGGTTTCTACACACAGGACACAAAGACAGGTGATTGAGGTGTGAAGTACTGGTGAGGAGGGAAAAAGATACGAGGTAATGAGGGAAAGAGACGTGAGTCCCTAAATTTTCCTGAGAAAAGTTATTTAGGACGGAAGAAAAAAAAAAAAGAAGAGGGGGGAAAAAAGGAAAAAAAAAAAAAAAAAAAAAAAAAAAAGCACTCCAACTCTCCCTCCCTTCCCCGGCCTAGATTCTTCTCTTGCCTGACTGGTCAGTGCTACTGTCCAGACTGAGGCCAAGTTGTCCAGGACAGTAGTGAGGCCCGGGAAGGGGCAGAGAGAAAGGATAACATGAGGCACCCCGCTGAGATTAAACTGCAGGAAGACTGGCCAGAGAGGGGAGTTTTGGACTCCGTGCAAATGTCTTAGCGCAGAGTGAAGGGCAGATCGGGGAGTTTCTGCATTCGCCTCATCACCTCGGTCTGAGGCCAAGGGCTTTTGTCCCTCATCAGAGACTAGTGTCCATGTTGTCACCATTCTTCATAGAGAGAGTACGTCCTGGGTGGCCCCTTTCCACTCCCCCCCCCCATCAGAACCTTGAAAGGGCAAAGAGAAAAGGATTGTGGGAGCAACCCTCCTGTGGGTGTCTGCCAGCCTGGAGCCTGGATTTGAGGTGGTGGGGAAGGGAGGAGCTGCCTTTGGAATGTGGGAGAGAAGTCGGACCTAAGCTGTGCGGTCTGCAGAAGAAGCCTGGAGAAGTGGGAACTCCGGATGAGTGGGTATTAATACATGGCACTTCTGCATTCTCCCAGCGGCAGAAAACCCAGGGAAAGATTAGACGCCCCATAAAAAGAAAGACATTTGAAATGATGGCTGGGAAGGAAAAGGAGACACATCTCTGGAGGTTAAAAAAAAAATAGATCCAAGGGCTGGAGCGTTGGCTCAATGGTTAGGAGCACTTGCTGCTCTTGCAGAGGACCTGAGTAGTTCAGTTCCAGCATCCACATGGCAGCTCAAAGCCATCTGTAACTTCAATTCCAGAGGATCAGACACCCTCTTCTGGTTACCTGTATACATGGGTTGCATGCACTCAGGTACACACGTGATACCCCTTCCCCTCCATGATAAATAGTATAAAAATGAAAATAACCCAAACAAAAATAAAGGCTCATCATTAAGGCTTCTGGAAGGAGCTGTGAAGTTCTGAAATATAGGGGTTATATAATAACTGTCAAGAGGCTTCTCATGAGTGGTGGTGTGACCCTCACTTGCCACCTCTTCATTCTGAGAGATTACACACACAGTGACTCAGAGCCTAGCCTCGGAGTCCCCCTTACTGGGCTTAAGTCCTGGTTTTACCAGTTAGTAGCCACACAGCCTTCTTCACGCTTTCATCGGGGTCAATAATAGTTGTGAGGGCTTCAAGAGTCAATATTTGCAAAGGATTTAGAAGGTGGGTAGCATGAAAGGTGTGGTGGCTCTCAGCTTTCTCTGGGTTCTCCAACTCTTCCACACTGCTCTTCTCTACTCTCCCTACTCTACTCTTGACTGGCTCCTGGGGCTGGGCCCAGCCCTCTGTAGTGGCTTTCTGAGCGTTTGTCCTAGGTCTGGGAAGGCAGAGTTATTGAGAAGTTAAACAAGGGGTTCCAGTTTCATGCCAACAGACTGGCTGTTACCAGAAGCAGGACCTTCAAACCGCAGCCCATTCTTCCCATGAAATTTGTGCCAAACAGATGTCCTGTCTTCAATTCAGACTCAATAACTGTGATCTGTCAAGCACCCACCCCTTCCCCAGATAATCATCCCTAGCAACCTCTGCTGTTTAGCCAAAGATACAAGTTTCTACCCCCACATCCGAGGTTTCTCTACCTATCTTCATGCATTGCTCCCCTCCTGCGTGGTTCTGTCTCCCCTCTCTTCTGTAGGGTGCATGTGTGCTTTTGTGTGTGGATGTGGGTGCATGTATATTTGCAGGAGAATAGAGGACAGAAGTTGCTGCTGAGTGTCTTCCTCAATCTTTGTCTATCTTGTATTTTAAGATAGGATCTCTCATTGAGCCTGGAGTTGACCAGTTTGGCCAGACTGACTGACCAGCAAGCCCCAAAGATCTTTCTGTTCCCCCCAGTCCTGGGATTATAGGCACGTTCCCTGTGCCTGGTTTTTATGGGGGTGCTGGGTGTGCAAACTCAGGTATTAATGCTTGTGTAGTAAGCCTTTTATTTATTGAGCCGTCTCCTCAGAACTTTGTGGGTGTGTGTTGGTTGAGGGAGGTCTTATTAAGCTTGCTGTGTATTCAAGGATGACCTTAATCCTCCGTCTCTACCTCTCGAGTGCTGGGATTACAGTCTGTGTCACCACACCTCCCTCCGGGCCTGGTTTGGTGTGGTGCTGGGTTTGTACACGCTACGTAACCACCCTACCAACTGAGCTGCATTAACCTGCCTCCTGTCTCTTGGTCTCTACATTTAGCACCTCTTCCTTCTCAGTTGGCTCCGGTGTCCTCTGCACCTGTCCCCTGATCAGCCTGTCAATCATGTCAGCTTAGTTACTGATGATAGCCTCCATCATGACTTTTCTGACTCTGGCCTCTCTCCTCGATTCCTTCCCTCTCCTGCTCCATGTTTGGTGTTGGCACCATGGAGCAATAGTTCTTATCTTGTCTCTTGTCCCTTCCATGCCTAGACATTCCTGTTAGCACTAGACGGACATTTCCGGTCACAGTCCTCACACAACTTTCTGCCTTTTCCACCTCCCCTCCTGGACCCCAACTCTTGTGCTTTCCAGGGTCTGATCCTGACAGTTAGTCCCCAAGTACACCCTTCCACCCACTCTTGGATATCACAAGCCATTCCAAGGTTCACCTACCTGAAAATTGCCATACTCCTTTTTCCCTCTTTCTGTTCAACCATCTCGTTTTATCTTTCCATCTTTGACTTTTCTCAGGATGCGTCACACAT